CCAATGTGGATTGGTATTGAATTTTTACTCTCATAACTAGGACAATCAATAATTGGAGTGAAAGCTGCAAATAATGAGAGCTGATATATACGAGTAAATACTTTGAAAATATGTCAACCTAACAAAGTTATGAACCAATAGTTATAAAAATATGAACCATAATGGTGTTGAAGAACAGAGCGCATTATAAATGTTGAAGGTGCTACTATAGTGATAGCGAGAATAAATAATAAAAATAAAAATCTAGGACTGCTACTCTAATCTTCTTAGCCTTACAACTTTGCAAAACTCTCCTCTTCCTGATCTGTGGACTCTCACATTATAAAATAGTTTTTTCTATAAATAACATGTTTTGTTAGATTCTTCGTTTCCTGATATATTGGATTTTCAGTTTTTTTTACAAAATAATATTGTCTACAATAATATCTTTTCAATTTAATTAAAATTTGTCTGAAATTATTCAATCGATATTTTCATTACAAAATCCATTTTTTCCATTAAAAACTTCATTTAGTAAATTTCTGGTCAATAATCCACAAAGCAATTTTTATGGTGAGCTACCGACATAAAGAAAACAATGTGGTATTCCAAGTTCCCTTTGGTCGCAGTTACGACGATTTTTGCTCAAACTGACTAATTTGGTGACAATGTTTGTATTCCTTTCAGAAATCAACCAAACAGATTATGCTTATTCATTGGGTTGACACCCAAACTCTACTAACAGAAAGTGGTCACAGCTTTATCAATTGGTAGCAAAAAAATATGTGGTGTAAACCACAACTCCACGAAATCATAGTATAGAGAAAGAGAAGGAAATCACAGCTCATTGTGTATTCACGGCATTTTTGCTAGCCAATATTTAATGACTTCAAAGAGTGACAACATTAGTGGTGCGATTGGTTCCATTCAATAAACACAGGCTTTTGATTGAATTGAATTTGGTGCAAAATCAGTCATAAAATTTGGGAGTTGAGTATAACACCAGTGTCTAATAGATTAAATATAAAAATTAGTTTTAATTCTTTATTAAATTAGATAAATTTAATTAAATGGTTTCAATGATTGACTGTTCGGGGTTTCACACACACACACACATCTGCTCTCCACTTAACATATAATTTGAGTTCCATAATGTGAACTCATCACATTTGAGTCAAATCAGTCTGTTATGATATCACATGATCTGAGTTCAATTATTTGGAAATAGGTGCACATAAATCAAATTGGTCTCTTGTAATACCACATGATCTAACTAGGTTCCTAATCAATCATCATCATTTAACTACTATTGTAATGATCTTATTAGAGAAAAGATGTCATGTTGTGGAATATCTATCAACTGACAGTAAACTGAGGTAGTTATATATATTACACAGTTCATTAAAAAGTAATAGTAGTCGAAATAATTATCCAAAAGGATTATAGTAACATAAATAATAGTTAAATGACTATTTAGAACCACTCGTTGAACATATAGTGTAGTATAATGAAATATTAAAAAAAAGGTGGAGAAGTTTATATTAGCTGTCTTCAGTTCACAAATACTCCTTTAAGTGAAGCATGTATTCCTGTAACGCTTATGAAATATAATCCTCCTTCCTTCAATAAAAATCTTTAAACTTTTTCCTTGGTTAAAATTAAATTTCCTTTAATATATCCTTTTAATGTTTTATATTACGAAGTTGAAAATTTCGACTAAATCATCAATGTCTATCGAAACCCTTCAAGCACCGGCAGTTTCACCCTAGTATGTCCTTCAATCAATTGAAACTTCCCCTTTTCGATGTACGACTATTTGCGTACCTGTACATAAAAGCGACTGACTTGCGCCAACATTGCTTCGGCATGTGTTTATCTACACCAGTCAGACATCCATCATGAAAGTAAACCTATTTAACCACCATGTTTACTTTGCTGCCGCCATTATACGCTCCATCGTGTGCTCAATCGCGAACCAGTGGGTTCGATAACAGCGTCGAAGACTAATTTCTGTGTGAGGGACTCCGCTTGGCTACAACAGCAAATGCAAGCGGTAATGTTGCCGGTCAACAAATGTTAAATATTAAATGAAGCGTTGATGTTAATTTTCTGATTAATTACCACAATGTTTGTTATTATTTTCCAACCACTGTAGTAATTTTTGTTGTTGTTGTTATGTTATTGTAATTGCAATAACAACAACTGCAATTGAAGCTGCAACATTTCTACCCACTATGAATCGACCAAACATGATAGTGAAATTGTTGTGTACATTTGAAAGCGGCGCACATGTACAGATATAAAATTAAATGTGTTTGCCTACTTTTAGGCGCTCAGACACACCTAACCTAATTATATGCAAACACTGCCAATAATGTTGACCAATTATAGGATTTGCTCATGCATTTTAGATAAAGTGCAATTGCTGTAAGCGATTTCTGTAATGGATGCAAATAATAGACTAGAATAAAATTTTAATTATTCCGCACAGTTTGAATTGGTAAGGAAGGACATCGATTGTCATAGTTTTGGAGTTTTCACACACACATACACACATTTTTATTCAACTCTATGCTTTCAAATCACTGCATTCAGATGAAATCCTTTTTCTCAACCACTGACATGACAACACTTAGCAATTTTGAGAAGGGTTGTCACTTGTCGCGTCGCTTCCTAACGTTTTCTCTATTGTAGGATTGAACCCTTAACGATTTAAAATTTTTTGAAAAGTTGATTTGTTTCGCATTCAGATTTCTGAATCCTCAATGTTGTTAACATAATTGTATTGTAATAATGCTTGAGTGAGTTTTGTGCTGTTAAGCTGTCTTACAAGGGCTTTCTGCTTTGTTGGGAGTGCCAAAGAAAAAGGGTTTATCAGGCTCTATTTTAGCTACAATTGCTTTGACTACTTTTTACGGGTCTCGCTTGAAGCTACTCAATTTTGGCATTTCAAAATCGTTTTGTCGTGTAGTTAATTTGTTAACAAGAAAAGTTTATTACTTTAATTCCTTAGCTTAAAGGTATGGAATCGAAACGCTGGGTTCAGTTAAATGGTTCAAAAATTACTTAAGTGGATTAGGTGTATTTTTTCCATTTGCTGTAATTATAACGATGGTCATTTTAATGGAATTTCATGAATGTGTATAAAAGGGTCAGCATTATACAAAAAATATTATAAAATTTTGTAATTATGTGTGTTTCGGGTGTTTAAGTACAAACATGTTCCCACCATTGTAAATCATACTTGGTATAATCAGCCGAATATCACACTATACGCAGAAATGTTTTTGAAATCTAATATTATTACAAGTATTATTCTGTAATAGTTCTGTATATTAACATTTATATATGCATATGTACACATATATACAAGCTATATATAATAGACTAGATTTTCTATCAATTATGTCAAATATTTCTGATATATTCTGATGTACACATATATATGAGCTATATACAACACACTGGATTTTCTATCAAAATATTACACAAGCAGAGAATTAATCTGCCAAATAAAACACGAATAAATAAAAATCGTATATTATAGAGGTTAAAAATAATTCCGTAGAATTAATAAGAATATATGTCATTAATATTATATAATGTGTCTTACTTGAGACATTAATGTAATACTTATGGATACATAATTCTGACATTGGGAAATAATCAGCTAAAGATGTTATGTTGTGGTCTATTTCATTTTATTGTTCTCAAATTATCGTAAAATTATTTAGTTATAGGGCTAAATAAGTTTTTGAAGGTAGCAGCACTTTCGTTGCTTCGGAGTTCGGGTGGGACTAAAAACGAAATATATATGATATGTCACATCTCTCAACATCTTCTGCTACTGTGTGAAGATCACATTGAAGTCTCTTACTATGTTTCAACTGAAACTAAGCAACATTTTTCATTATTCGAAGAACTTCTGACTGAAAACATTGAAACATAGTAATAATAGATTTAGAGGCTGAGCCCCATAATTGAATACCATAGATCTATATGAGTCTCAGAATTTTTTTAGAAACGAGAAGTTTGTTGTGTGGGAAGACCCTGAAAAATCAACTTATCGTTATATAATTGGATACATTTCAGATGTAAAAATCACGATGAAATGTATAATTAGGAATTAACCAATAGGCATTTTTTATTATTCGAATAACTTTTGACTGAAAACGTTGAATTAGCGCAATATTAGATTTACCGCTGGAGCCACATAATAAAAAACTATTGTAAGTAAAGTTTGGAATATCTACCTATCATAACATAATAGAATAGTTTTCAGTCAAGGCTACTTCAAGCTAATTGCAAGACGATTTCACTAATTATGTTGAATCAAATGTGAACAAAATTCACAAAAACTGTGTAGTTACACAAAAACAAGTTCAATAAGAGTTACTAAATTACGTTTGTTTTTGAACAATTTGTTTATGTTTTCCTAACGAAAATTGCCTAATATTGCGCAAGATTAGCATGAAAAGCAATCGTTGACCTCATACACACCAATGACGGAAGCAGAGCAAATTAAAATGGAATTGTGATTGCTGCATCATAGCAATCAATTCGGCATAGGATGTTGGTCACTAGATACTAGATACTATGTTCTACTACGCAGGCATACTACGTAATTGTGCCCACATGTGCAATAACATGTGAAAATGTTTTTCCAATTAATTCAATGATTTTGATTGAAATTTTGTAGCTGCTTTTTTTCCTTTTTGTTGTTATTGTTGTCCTTTTTACTTTGTGTAAAATATTTACGATATCCTTGTTGTTGGCCCATTTTGTGATTGATTTCAGTAATGTTGCCTCCAATTCAATTACGTCTGTTAATAGCTATTAGGATGATACGCATAATGCAGTGCATAATAATGACTTAAATATGGATAAATAAATATCTTAAGTGACCTTCTTAACATGATGGATTGTTTGATTAATTGATTAGCAGAAGTATTGATAAATTGAACTGTCACTTCAATTAAATATTTAATTCATTTCATTAATTTTTTTATTTTTAATTTTAGCTCAAGATCTTAATGACATGGATCAGGATGATATGTGTGATGATGGCATGAGCAGTGATATCGATGATAGAGCCAGTGAAACAGACTCAAAGAAAGGTGGTAGTCGTAATGGTGATGGAAAATCTCAAAGTGGTGGTGGTGGTGGTGGTTCAAAACCCAGAAGAGCACGTACAGCATTTACCTATGAACAATTGGTATCGTTGGAAAATAAGTTTAAGACAACGCGCTATTTAAGCGTCTGCGAACGTTTGAATTTAGCACTAAGCTTAAGTCTAACAGAAACACAGGTAAGATATATTTAGGAATATATATATCAAATGGTACAATCTCTAATAAATATGTAAAATATCTGTACTGTTAATGGTTTTAATGAAACTAAATTGATAATGTCATGAAGACAATTCACTACTAGTCCGGTTGTGACTGATTGCAAGATCTTCAGCAATTGGCATGTCTCAAAAATTTTTAGCACAACACATATGTCTTAAAGTATATAAAGTTCACTTTAGAGAGAAGATAATTAACTATTGTTTGATACTATATTTTTTTTATTATGAATTGCGTATGCTTTCTGTTCAAGATTTCTAAATGGATAGGCGACGAAATGCTCTAGAAACTTCGCGAACAGATATATTTTTATCAAAGTGATTTTCCACAATTTGGAAGCGTTGTTCTAGCGTTAAACGATTCAAGAAGAATTGCCAAACCTTACTGAAAAAATGTCAACACAATTTGACACTATCAGGCATCAAACCATAGTTATCGATATCAATAGTTATCGATATAAATAGATATCATGCATCTAAAAAACACGCTGTAAATAATATAAATAAAACCTTAATAAACCATAAACTGTAGTTCAGTCAATTCAGGGCCACAAACTAATTAATTCCGTAAATTTTAAAAAATAAATATATATACATATATATATTCAGTAAAATCTAAACTGTACAAAGAATTCAATAAATCAGCCTGATAGTCTTAGGTCTTGAATTATTTTTTTCTAATCTAGTATTTCTATTACTATATTCTCATATATATATGAATATATTTTCTCTACATTGAACTGAAAGGAAAAACTTTATTTATTTTTAGGTAAAAATTTGGTTCCAAAATCGTCGCACAAAATGGAAGAAACAAAATCCAGGCATGGATGTGAATAGTCCTACGATACCACCACCAACCGGTGGCTCTTTTGGACCAGGTGCTTATGCCAGCAGTTTACTTTATTCACATGCTGTTCCCTATCCACCATATGGACCCTACTTTCATCCGCTTGGCGCGCATCATCTGAGTCATTCTCATTCATAAAATTGCAAAATGCAACATAAATTGTTGCAACTCATGGAAATGCGTAAATAGCGTAATTCAGCCAAGATAACTGAAGCCAAAGACGAAATTTTTTTCATAATTCTAAGAAAATTCTATGTGATGATAACGTTAGACCGGGCCAGTGCAAAGTTAGGATAAATAATAATTACTACTTACAGTGCTCGAGTAAAAATTACTCTCTTTTAGTGCTAAAAGACTATTTATTGTTTTTTTTTCATTTTGTTGTTTTGTGAATTTGTCAATTATTGTAAAAAGTTATTCATAAAAATAAAAATTCTGCTTTAATTATTTGCCATATAAAAAAATAAATAAAATAATTTCTGTATTGTAAATAAACTTTAAAAATTCTGTAATAATGTTTGCAGAGTGCATATCCTATTACTTTTAAATTATTTCTTGTACGTAGTTATGAATAGTCTTAAGACATTAAAACAATTAATTGCTAATAGTATTAGAATATTATGTACTTATTGTTACTAAGTCAAAGTCAAAATCAAAAGGATACAAATAAAATTAATTATAATTATAAAAAATTATGCATTTTTATTAATAATAATTCGATATTATAAGGTTATTAAATAGGTTGTAGATAACACATGATAATTTTACGGACTGTATCGAATCGTTGTGCAGTTGATGCACTTTGGTAAAATATCATTTCGGAACCAATTCATTCATTTTATAGTCATTATAGGAAATATTTAATTGGATGGTGGTTGATTGGTCATATCCTGGTCATATCCAGCGCGAACTTGGACCCCACATAGTACGAAATCTTGTAAAAGATCTTGAGTAGCGTGGGAGAGAACTGCCCTTACTCAAACTGGGAAAATGTTTATCGAACTGTGACTAAAGGCATACAATAGATCAAACTGGTTATCATTTGCAGAATTCTTAAGGTCTATCAAAAGGAAAAATGGATGAAACATTTATAATAATTTCACTGAAATTAGAATTGGGTTGATTCCAATTACATATTTCAAATATTTATTATAAAGTGATGTCATCATCTCTACACAAATTGTAAAGATTTATTATTTCATTGATGCGGGAGAGTTATGTATTCTCTCGTGACAACAGAATATTAACCTGAAAATGTGACAGATTTTATTTTTATATGAGATTTGGGTATTATATAAGAGCAAGCGCATAAAGTTTTGGAAGAATATAGTACCAAAAACAATCTTAATTTTTTTTTCGCAATCTAACATTTCTTCTCGACACATTTCATATAACTGTTCTTCCACGAACGAAGTAGAATTAAGCTTATACTCACATAGTCCATATATTAGATACATTCCAACCAACTAGCGCAAGTAAGCTGATGTTAAAAGACTGTTTAATTTTTATTTTACCTGCAACTAGCATAATCCGAGGGCGTACTGTTTACTATTGTAAATGCTATATGCTATAAATATTTGCTATAATATATATATGCTATATATTATCTGTAAAAATAAAAACAGAGTACGAAATCAATAGACTACAAATTTTACTTCACTTTCCATAAAATTGTTGATAAAAACAACTATCACATTCGAAGTAAAGAAGACCATCTTCGAAATCCTAACATTACAGTCAATGATGCCCTGAATAAAGTCATGAACACCAGTTTTTTTTTCATATGTTGCTGATATATTGTGATATTGTGATACATATTATATTATTACCAAAAAAACTGTTTAACGAATAACTTAAAATTATTTGTTCAATTTATGTTTTTTTTTTTTAATTTGAAAGCCTTCATCTCTAAAGTACTTCTTGTATTTATGTTTTGAAATATTTAAATTAAAAAAACTTTGAATTTTGTATTTTTTACATTCATAAAAGAAAATAATAAATATACGGAAAACATTTCATTAGATTTTTTCTAAAATTCAGAACAAATTGTATTAAACAGTTCATGGCTCTAAGAGGCCATTACTTCCATTACCGATATATTTACCATTAATATATCATTAATGATAATACTACATAAGGTAATAAATAATAATACTATTTAGAATTATTTGATAATATAATAAAACAAACTACTATAAAAACTTCCTTTTTCTATCTATATTTCTGTAATATTCATCTATATACATCTTTAAATAGAACAAAAGTAGTGCATTGTTGGCCAAAATAATTTATTTAAAACAATTTTAGAGATCATTCATGCCATTTAAATGCAACCCTGTGTGTTTAATGTAGGAATAGCAGTTCATATATTCATTTTCAGAATTCTATTCATACATGTAAGCTATTATGATGATCACTGTGACCGAAAAGTTTCCGGAAGTTTTAAATAAAACGCAAAATTCTTAATCTTCATCAATATTTATTTTATCTCCTTCAAAATATGCTCCATTAGAAGCGATACACAAATGCCAACGTTTCTTCCAATCATCAAAACATTTTTTATAGGCGCTTTCCGGTATGGCTTTGAGTTCCCTCTGCGAATTCTGTTTTACGTCTTCTATGGATTCAAAACGCGTTCCTCTGAGTGGTAATTTGAGGTTGGGAAACAGGAAAAAGTCACACGGTGCAAGATCAGGTGAATACGGTGGCTGTTCGATGGTATTTATTGAATGTTTGGCCTTAAAATCGTTGATAATGTTGAACAAATTGAGGTGAATCGGAACAAGCCGGGCGTTGACACGTCGCATACACAAATTGTCCACCAAAATCAAACGAGCCATCTCACGACCGATGCCTAGCTCTCGTGCTATCTCTCTAACACTCACATGAGGATTTTTGAACACGATTTCCTTTGCCTTTTCAATGTTTTCGTCGGTGGTAGAGGTCGAAGGTCGTCCAGAACGCGGCATGTCTTCGACGGTCGTACGACAGTCCTGAAAGGCTTTGTACCACTCATAAACTTGAGTTTTCGATAAAACTGATTCCCCATAAGCCTTTTGTAGCATTCGCAACGATTCTGCACACGAAATTTCGTTCGAAAAACAAAATTTGATGCAAACTCTTTGTTCAATATTTTTTTCCATTGTTTTTTTCGCAACGCACTACTGAGGTGAACTGGTTTCAACAGCTGCCGTAAACGAACTGTCTGACAGATCGCGCTCATTTTTGGCATAGTAATTAAGGACAGTGCTGCCAAACTACATAAACTTAAAATATCGAAAAATATACAGCGCGCGAATTTTAAATGAGAATTTCCGAAAGCTTTTCGGTCACAATGTATATGACTGAACAAAAAAAAAATCATTATATGGTATATTAACGTTTTTTTAATATAGAAATTTTTAGAATAATTTTATTTAATAATTGTTAATTAAAAAAATTATTTGAGACTTATTTACACTATCGAACTTTGGACTTGAAAAACAAGTAATCATGTACAGAAATGTATATAGCTACATTAAAATTGCTTATAAAATGGTTTAGTACTGTACATATTGTACACTTATATATTATGAGCAAAACCATTTTTTATAAGGCAGTCGTAGAAAATAATGAAAATAATTATTATAAAAATAATAATGAGAAAAAATAATTAATTATAACAGAAGTAAAATATATGTAGAAAGTACGATGGTAACTTAGTTCACCAATGGGCAGTTCTCTCGTGTTAATAAAACTTAGTCGAGTCGATCAAAAGGTATTCTCTATAAGATATTACTTAAAAGTTGGTAGACATTAGGTTAACTTTATTATTTTTCAAATAAAATAAAGTTCGTTTTTTAAATGGGAATCACGAAGAGAATTATATTTGTATTTAGAAAAATCGATTGACATATCAAATTCTGACCATATAAGTGAATTTGGATTTCCTTTATAACAATTTTACTATATGTCAACGTTTGGCCAATCTTAATTTCTGTAAAAATAAATTGATTTTAGGGACATCTTAGCATAGATAATTAAAAATTAAGCGATGTAACCTGGGAGACTATTAAACAATAAATCAGGCTATTAGCTGTGATATATGGTTTAATAAAACTAGATTTGCTTATTTTCTTTATTATCATGATTTGAATGAAACGTAAGTTAATTCATATTACTATATAATCTCCCTTATTTCCTTGTCTTGCTGTCTTACAAAACGCTGGAAAACAGTATAAGTAGTCAATTCCGCCAAAACTTTTGCAATAATTTAATTAATTAATGAAATTTTATTATAAAACCAAATATCTTAAACAATACTGAGATCTGAGAATGTTGTTGGTTTTATTTAATTATAAATTTTATTTAAATTTATTAACAAGCTCAATGTTTCAGTATTCATCGATGGTCATTTTCATCTTGAAATATGATTTCGTTTAATTATACAACTTAACTAGTATGCTTTCTGATTAATATTTTTATTTGATAAACAAATTATCGATTATTGGCAATCTCTATTAGTATAACGTTTGATCAATTAATTGCATATAAATATCTCCATAAGTCTAACTTTACGACAACATATTACTATTTTTATAATATTTTTGTGTGTATATATCATTATTTATGTATAAATGAAACTATAATAGAAACATATTCACACTTTTGATAAGGATTTCATGGCAAATAATACGTAAGTGTGCAAATTGCATGACAACAAAACCAAGTCAAGTGTAAAATTTTAAATTTGGTCCTCATTTTGACAACAAAAACATTCAATTATGTGAAAACGAACGGAATTTCTTAATCGGATTTATGCCACGCCGCATTCACAGCCACATTCGACAAATACACCATGAATAAACGATAAAATTCTTCCTTTTGCTGTTTACTTTTTGCTCACACTTTTTCACACAACTTAAGCGAATTTATTTTATATTTTAATGTAAAATATACAATGCCAATAAAGAGCTCGGGAACACATACATGCACGTCAGAGACGAGAGTGCAGATACTGTCACCCCATCCGAACCAACCCATTGACGATTGTGTCGCATGCCACTGACAGTTGCCACTGACACAATTGCCAATATGACAAAACACTGCGACAGATACGGATGATGCACACAAAACGTTGATGAAAACGTTGAGTGACGACGCAATTGAATTTGAATCTGATTTCAAAATACCAAATCCCGAAATCCTCGTATCCATTTCTGAAACTCATATAGCGAACACTGGTGCTGGGTTTTTGTTTTTGTGCGTGAGGCGTTGAGTAAGTAACTGCGATGTTATCAACGCACTCAACCAACGAAATCCAAAGCGAAATAAATAAAAAAAGTCACCGACGGAGGAAAAAAAATCG